TGGGAAACAAGATACTTCTGAACTTTTGCAAAGCTTCTCCCTCCCCAGTTTCATTAAGGAAAAAGATATCTATAAAATCAAAGTCAAAAGATATTTCCAATTCTGAGGTTCAGACTGACAATGTTAGCATGCTTTGCTATGGCAGACTATTGCAAAGATGTAAGTTACCTAATTAAGATCAAGGATGTAAATGCATCTCTACAGTATCCTGGCAATGGTTTAGACCATCAAGCCTTTTGCGGTTTTTTGATGCCTGATTAATCTGATGCCTAAGCCTTTTGCAATTTGTTCTTTATTGAAAATTACACATCTTCCTCTTATTACAAAAATTGTTATAAATTCTGTGTTGAAATATTTTTCTCATCTTTTTTCCTGTCTGCTAGTCTAACCAATCTAGTGTAAAGCACTCTGCTAAGTATTCCTTTTGCATGCTTTCTGTTGATTAGTATTTTTCTCCAGCAAGATTCCTTCCAAAGGCTAATCATAGAATTGCTGACTAAAGGCATTTTTATAAATAATTTGTAGTGGTATTGGACTATGGTTTGGCTGTGGAGTGCAATCATATAATTTGGAGTTTCCACTAACATTGTCTTCCTTGTATGTTCACTCAAGGGTGTATCCTGATGTTTGAAAAATAGAAAATTACCAGAGCTGGGGAGGAGGAGAAGCTGGAGAAAGAGGAGGAAGTGGAAAAAGTGGTGGGAGCGTTTCTCCCTGGCTGTGTCCAGTGAGTTATGGGATCGAGACAAAGCTACTACATTTTCCATCCTCATCTGCCTTCAAGTAACTTTTAGCAACTGAGGACTGACAGTAATATATTTAATTAGCTTTCTCTTCTTCATACCCAGAGGCAGTTTACTTCAGGCCCTCGTTATTTTTCTCCTGAATTCCTGTAATAGCCAGCAAATTGCTCTGCTTGCCTTATGGCCTTGCTGGTCCTGCAATTCATCTCCTACCAGCTACCAGAAGGATTTTACTCATAGTGAATTTGATCATGTCTATCTTCCTGTTTAAGAATTCTTCAGAGAAGGGCCTCAGGATAAAGAACAACCTATTTTTTATGCCATGGTAGCCCAAAATGTGAACATGGTGAAGCTATGACCATATATTACAAATCCTAAGCACAGAAGCAACTCATTACTTCTGATCACAAGGCAGTGGCTAGAATTTAATCACACGGTTCATTTATTTGCAAAGGAGGCTGGGAAATGTAGTCTATTACTGTGCCCAAATAAGAGGAGAATGTATTTAGGAGGCTAGCTAGCCTTCTCTGCCACAGTAGATTGTTTTTAAAAACCCCTTAGCAATCACAATAAATATTCATGAATACGGAATTTTTCTCACTAGCAGAAAAAAGAGAATTGACATTTATTGAATGTCTACCATGTGCTTAGCATAGTTTTTCTAGGAGAAATACTTGGTCTTATTCATCTTGCTACCTCCTGAACTTAGCAGATTGTCTAGCACACAGTAAACACTCCAAAAAAAAACTTTGCTAAACTGAACTTTATAAAAACGTGGAATTTTTTAAATATATGAATAACAGCAGGCTTTCATAATCTTGTTATTTTTCCTTTTTCCTTTTTTCCTGCATCTCCCCCTGATACTGCATTATTTTTTCTTTTGTTTTTCTTAGTGTAAGCCTTAATTGTTAATGCTTTTCCACTGTCACTAATTAAAACAAGCAGCTGACTTGAAGGTGAGGGTTGCTTACTATTCTTCAACAACTGCCTCAAACTGACTTCTAGTTGATTATTTCCTTACCAGAAGAGTGATTCAGACAAGTTCATGATTTTTAAACATTTGATTGCTGATGACTAAGCATGGTTTTTCTGGGTTACTTCCTAAGGAGAGCATTTAGCAGGGAAGTGGGAATTGATGCCCAAGTCATCACCCCTCTGGGCAAAGGAATTCCTTTCAAATTCCAAAGGAGCATGTGCTGGCTCACTCCTTATTGTAAAAACAAATCACTGTTGAGAGTTGAAATGTGGCTCAAAGGCCTGGTTGATCCTGATCCCTTTTCTGTAGGAAGTGGGTGCGGGGAGGTGGGAGGAACGGCCTCATATCCCAGGAGGTTTAGTAACAGAAGTTGTATCTGTTGGGAACAAAGTGTCAAAGAAGAGAGGCTGCTGGTCTGGGAGGGAAAGGGCCTCCTCTGAGCCAGCCACGTGGGTCAGGTCAGGCCTGATGATCAATGAAGAGACAGCTGCCAGAGCCAGATCAACTTCACATCCACAGTAGGGTGGGATTCTTCTGATACACACAATCACGGTCACTTGGCAGCTATAGAGCTAGCCCCAGTTTTACCTAAAATATTGCCAAGATCTCACTCATTTTGCCCTCCCGAGCTTTTCTTGGGTCTGTGAAATGCTGATGCCATTTATAATCTTACCTGTGTTGTCTAGGTCTGGTCAGGAGAGGGCAGATTCCCAGGTTTCCCAGGCAGGGTGGTTCCAAAGGCTCCAGCAGCCACTCTGTCACTATCCATGGATAGGGGGACTTTTCTCCTCCTCCTCATGCTGTTGAGGTTGTAACTGGCATCTCCATGGACTGCTGAGGACTCTTGAGTCCAGTGAGTGGGCAGGGCCAGCCAGGGTTTCCTTTGATTACAAAGCTGGGATTTTCAAACCAGGGACACAGACATCAATTACCAGTCACTCTGGCCGAAGGTGCTGGTCTCTACCTCCCGCTCTTTTGATAGAAGCTGCCAAATTTCACAGGACCGAAAAGATTCTCAGGAGACTTGTCTTTCTCAATTAGATTTTATCTATGGCAAATGCCATTTCCATAATAAGTTCTGGAACTGTCTCCAACTCCAAACTTCAATATTGAATGTCTATTTCCTTATCCTTTTCTAAGAATGACTTAGCATTGTCTCTAATGACTCATCAACAAGATGCCAACATTCTCTCTCATTTTCTCTTATCTTTGAGGCAAGAATCTTATAGAAGAGCAAATCTGTGTAAAGCTGGATTTAACTTTTTCTGTACCTACACCCCACCCACCTTGGGAAATCTGGGAGCAGGGATTGAGGAGGTATTGCTTTCTCTGGTTGAGAATCATTAAGGAAAAACTGAGACAGGGAAGTAGGAAGTACTGAACTCTGAACTCTATTCAGGAAACCAAATGACAATTTTGGAGATGTCAACTTCTGCAACAATTTTGGGCAGTTTACTGTTAAGAACTCAGGAAGAACTAGTGAGTCAAGTCATTATTTCAAGTTTCCAGTTGTAATTTTCTTAACTGCTTTATTTATACATGTTCCTCATGACTCCAGAGTCAGTTAATTCTGTCTCTGAGTTATGTAGTAAATGTTCATCCAGCAGACAGATTGCAGGTGACTCCCACTGGCTATGGAATCAAAGTGTTCCTGTCATCACTATTTTGGTTCCTGGAGTGACCCTAACTACCTTGTAAAGCTGGACAAACTGTCTAGATTCGAAGTAATTGGTGATGAAATTGGTCAAAGAATATTTAGGATGATATCACATCCGGAAAATCCCTTGCAAAAGAAAGTACTTTTAGAGGAAACACAAAAAGGAATTTTAAAAATACTATTTGGATAATACACACTATGGGATCTTTTTTATTTTTTTAGCTAACAGGAAATGCATCTGAAAGTCTTTCCCCTAACTGTCTGGGAAGGCCTGTGGGATGAATGAATGAGTCCTGCTGCTCTTCGGAATTACCTTACCATGGATGCTGGCACCATCACCCCAGCAGCACCCCAGGATATCTGCCTAGATGAGTGGTTGTCACTTTTCTTCCCCAAGTCTGCCCTGGACTGAAGCTCTTCCTCAAATTGTAAACTATGGAGTCACAGCATCACTGGTACTTATCATTCCTGCTGGCTTTTGCCCCTGAGGGTGGGTCTCTGTCTTTAGTTTAACAAAGATCATTTCAGAGCACACTAGGAAGAAAAAGTGAGGCCTTCATGTGGCATTAAAGAGGCTTCCTTTCTCTGTCTTGGAGGAAACAAACACACAAAGAACAAAACCAATTCAATAACTTCTAAAATTTTCAAATTACAAAGATTTGAAAGAGGTTATCCAAGATGGTAGTGTTGCAGGACTTTTCCTTAGTTCAGCTAAAGATGGGGTCCTTGTGTCTTGACCACAAAGTTTAGGCTCGCAGACGATTTGAAGGGCGAGTAAAGCAGAGTTTTATTGGGTCAAAAGGGAAAAAAGGGGGAACAGGGATTTTCCCCAAGGCCAGAGTTCCTGATAGAGTGCTCGCTGTCTCGCGGTTTGAATCCCAGGTTCCACACAGGAAGAGGAGGGGTCAGGCTCCTCCCCACTGCAAATGGCGCGAACATCTGTGACTCCACCCCAGTGTGCATTCCCAGTGCACAGGCTGCCTGGAGTTTTTCCAGGGATTCCCCTCCCACCTGGCTGTCTCAGTAGTTGTCTGTTACAGTGGAATAATTGCAGTCAGAAAAAGGAAAAATGGATAACAAGAGATTAAGGTTGAATTGGTGTCTTCGGATCTAACTAGTGGTGGGAATTGAGGCAAGCCAGTTGTCCTCTCTGAGCCTCTGCTTCCTCACCTGTAAAATCAGGGACTAGTAGTGCCTATCCCACAATATTATGGTGGAGATTAAATGACAGCATGTGCCCATCACAGGACCTCACATATGAAATGTTACATCCAATTAACATAGTTCTGTGTCCCTTCCTTTTAGATTCTGAAATTTACTTTGCATGACTATTCCTAAAATGATGGAAGTCCTTTTTCTCCTTTCCCCAACATTCATCTTGAGTTGTAGATAAAGAGAAGTAAACATCTGACTAGGGTAATGACATCTAGTTTAAAATGAAGGGATACACTTCTTTAGTATATTCTCTTTTAACTGTGAGATGTGATCTCCTGAAAAAAACTACATTTTATGAGCTATAAATCTGACTCATAATTACTGAAGTTTCTTAAACTAGCTTCCAAAATATGATGTATTTTCCTGCTATATATCTAAGCATCACTGACTTACATAATCTTTTTCCTCCACATTTTTGACAATCTTTTCTTTCTCCACATGATTGAAATCTTTGCCCTAGCAGATGCCAAATTGTCACAACTCTAATAAATTTCTCACAAATCTATCTCACTTCTATCCAGGATTCGGCTCAATCTAACAGAGCAAATTCGTCAGCAGTCAACCACCAGACTTCAAGGCAGTCATTATTAGAGAAGATCTGCACACCCCCTCCTCCTCCCAACCAGTGTGCATAAGTTGCTAAAATGCGTATCCAAAGAGGGCTTAAAATCTTCCCACAGCAATACTCTGTCCTGAGTTCCAATGAGATTCCTTGGCCTTCATAAGTAACCAGTATGGAAAAACATAAAATGAACATAGAATTTTGCTCCTAAAATAGATGGCTCAGAGTGCCTACTTTTTGACTGAGAAAACAACCTCAATTCTCTACCCATCCCTGAATCTGTGACCTTTGCAATGTGATTTTGCTGCTTCTTCCATCAAGAGTATAGTCTGTTTTCCTGTTCCTTCAATCTGGGTTGGCCTTTTGATTTACTTTAGTCAATAGAATGTGGCCTTGCCTTGGAACCAGGCCTTGTGAGGGCTTATAACACCTCTGCTCTCTATTCTCTCCATCATGAGAACAAGCCTGGCCTAGCTGACTGGAGGATGAGAGACCATGTGGAGCAAAGCCAGTCATCTCAGCCAAGACCCTTCCACATGAACTAAAAGCGAGTGCACGGTCAGACTTATGAGTCCCCCCAGCCAAGAGAAGAAGAACTGCTTAGTTAAGCCCAGCCAAGATCAGCAGAACTGTCCAGCCAAGTCATAGAGTCATGAGCTGAAAAAAAAAAAAAAAAAAAAAAAAGGTTTATTGTTTTATACCACAGGGGTTTTGTGGTTGCTTGTTATGCATCCTAATTATACACAGACAACTGATAATATTAAAAAACAAAGAAATGGTGGGAGCTCCTGGGATATTCAGGGAGATTTGTAGAGCTACTGCCTTGGGATGAGAAAGGAGGAATTCTGTTTTTGTCTACACTAGAACCTAGACCTTCATGTACTCGTAGAATGCTTGGAGCAAGACCCATGGCCAAGGCTTAATGAGGTTATGAGTTAGACTTTGTCTGAAGGGTCTTACTCCCTGCTATTTGAAGACACATAAGCCTCTGAGGTCAAGAGTCTCCAGCTGAGGCACAGATAAGCAGGGAGCTGAGGAGATGATGCCAGAGGTCAGGCAAAGTTCTGTTGTGGGACTTTTCCTTAGTTCAGCTAAAGATGGGGCTCTTGTCTCAGGGCTATGAAAATTTAGGCTTGCAGACAATTTGAAGGGTGAGTAAGGCAGAGTGTTATTGGGTAAAGAGGGAAGGGACCATCTGCAAAGCCAGAGTCCCTGCTGGTGTGATTCTTACCTCGTAGTCTGAATCTCAGTTTGCACACAGGAAGAGGAGGGGCCAGGCACTGTGGCTCCATCCCACTGTTCGTTCCTGCCAGTACATAGGCCTGTTGGAGTTTTGCCAGGGAGCCCTTCCGACCTTCTGCCTTGGTTCCATGATAAACATGATGCCCCTTGTTGGAGCATGAACTTTCTTGAGGGACTTGAGAGACAAAAGTAACATAGGCTTTTTATAAAAATTAAAAAAAAAAAAAAAAACTGTTATAGAACTGAATGTAGAGTTAAAATATATTTTTATGATAAAGTACAATCACCCATTTCTCTTTTCTTATTATGGACTAAATTTTGTGTCCCCTTCCCCACATTCACATGTGGAAGCCCTCATGGCCAATGTGATGGTATTTGGAGGTGGGGCTTTGGGGAGGCGCCTAGGTTTAGACAAAGTCATGAAGGGGAAGCCCATTTGATGGGATTAGTGTCCTTATAAGAAGAGGAAGAGGCAGGGTGCCGTGGCTCACGCCTGTAATCCCAGTACTTTGGGAGGCTGAGGCGGGTGGATCACTTGACTAGCCTGGCCAAGATGGTGAAACCCCATCTCTACTAAAAATACAAAAATTAGCCAGGCATGGTGGGGTGTGCCTGTAATCCCAGTCACTTGGGAGGCTGAGGCAGGAGAATCACTTGAACTTGGGAGGCGGAGGTTGCAGTGAGCCGAGATCACGCCGCTGCACTTCAACCTGGGTGATAGAACAAGACTCTGTCTAAAATAAAATAAAATAAAATAAAATAAAATAAAATAAAATAAAATAGGGAGGCGGAGGTTGCAGGACAGATCACGCTGCACTTCAACCTGGGTGATAGAACAAGACTGTCTAAAATAAAATAAAAATAAAAATGTGTGGCCAGGCCTAAAATAAAATAAAATAAAATAAAATAAAATAAAATAAAATAAAATAAGGAAGAGCATGAGTCTGGAGCTTTCTATCTCTCCAGCCTGGGAGGAACCAGCAAGAAGTCAGCTAACTGCCACCTGGAAGAGGTCCCTTACCAGGACCTGACTGGGCACCTTGAAATTTGACTTCCAGCTCCATAACAGTGAGAAATAAATGTCTGCACCAACCCAGTTGATGGTATTTTGCTATGGCAGTCCAAGCTGACTGAGGCATTCTTTTCTCAGCCAGCATTTGCTCTTCTCTGCCATCAGATTAATATTATTTGAACAATTTTAAAATCACTAGTCTGGATAGTGGTTTCCAAATTTTTCTTTTGTGCTTACTATTCTCCCGTTATCAAAAGGCTTATTACACCCTTTGCCATGTCATAAAACCACTTCAAACCCTTTTTAACATTGTCTATGGTTGATGATTATCAAACTTTACAGATCAGGGGGTCTTTAGAATTAAATTTTGAATGATGTGTTATACACGCTTTCCTAATCTTTCTGTATTCCTTATGGACTAGTTGACTCCATGAGAAAAGAGCAGGTGACTACTCATCCGCTGAGAAAATAGATATTTCACATTTGAGACTGGAGGGATGCCAGGCCAAGGTGAGTATCTGACCCTGTGTTCCATTCATTTGTTTCTCGTCCTGACCACTAGTGGAGAGCCCCATTATTCTGTTGTTCCGGGAATCTGATTTGGATTTTCAGTCCCTCAGCTGTTGGGGACTCCAACTGTCCTTATAAGTGTATCCTCACTTGTTATGAGTTGAATTGTGTCACTTCCAAATGCACGTATTGAAGCCCTAGCCTCCAGTGCCTCCAGTGACTCCTGTGTATTTGGAATGGGTCTTTAAAGAGGTTATTGAGTTAAGATGAGCCCATTAGGGTAGGCCCTAATCTGATATGGCTGGTGTCCCTATAAGAAGAGGCAATTTGGACACCAAGGACTACCAGGGATGCGTGCACAAAGAGGAAAGACCACATGAGGAAAGACAGAGACGTCTGCAAGCCAGGGAGACAGGCCTTAGAAGAAACCAGACCTTCCCACACCTTGATCTTGGACTTCAGTCTCCAGAACTGAGAAAATAAATGTTTGGTGTTTAAATCACTCCATCTGTGAGATTTCATTACGGTGGCCTGAGCCTACTAATACATTACACTAGGAAACCAGCTTTAGTTCTTCAGCTGTCTATAACTTTGGCTTTCTTAAATGCTAAGAAACAGAAAATTGCCTCTTACATTTCTCATTAAAAACTACTGCTTGGCCCTCCATCTTTGACCTGTAGTCTCAAGAATGACCCTTCATTGTCTGCAAGGGTTTGTGATATCTTATTTATTAATGCATGTTGCTATTGTGTAGAGGATCATCTTGTTCTCATAGCTACTACTGATCAGGGAGAGTCACGGTCTAAGTATACACAAGTACACTTAGCAGGTTAGCCCTGGGTGCTTAGGAAACAATGACTAGTGGCCCAATTTCTCTCTCTCTCTTTCTCTTTCTCTCTCTCTCTCTGAGTATGTGTGTGTGTGTGTGTGTGTGTCTGTGGGTGTGTGTGTCCTCACAAAGTTCTAGCAGCATTGCCTTGGGGATAGGAGAACAATCTCAATACTCTGAGATGCTAGCATGTCATGAAGGAAGGACAGAGCCACTAGTCAGAAGCCTAGATAGAGGCTGTGCAACGAGGAAGTAAGCAGGGGCTTGTTAAAGATATAGATGGGACTGGGTTCACACCTGTATTTGCTGGAAAGCACTTTGGGGAAGCGGGCGGATCACTCAAGTTCAGAAATTCGAGACCAGCCTGGCCAACATGGTGAAACTCCGTCTTTACCAAAAATACAAAAAGTAGCCAGCTGTGGTGGCACACACCTGTAGTCCCAGCTACTTGGGAGGCTGAGGCTGGAGAATTGCATGAACCTGGAATGTGGAGGTTGCAGTTAGCCGAGATCGCACCACTGCACTCCAGCCTGGGCAACAGAGAGAGATTCCATCTAAAAAAAAGAAAAAAGAGAGAGAGATAGATGGGGAAAAAGTCGTTGACCAAAGTCGCAGCCTTACCTTCACTGGAAATCCATGAGCATCAGGCTGGAAGAGTTTACTTGGAGAGTGGGAGGAAAAGGGATTGGAAAAACAAGAGAATAACGAACCATGCAAGGATTACTCTCAGGTTGGTCAGTGACTGCAGCATTTTATTTTAGGGGTCCTGGCCTCACAATAAATTGTTTTTAGTATAAGTATGCCCCATGACATATTTGGGACATGCTTATACTAAAATTATTTGTTGTTCATCTGAAATTCAGATTTAACTGAGCATCCTAAGTTTTACATGGCAATCTTACCCAAGAGCCAGTTCTCCATATAGCCAGAGAAATCTTCATGAAATTATGCAACTTTGATGAGCCAAGCCTTTCATTCTCCCTCAAATTCAAGGTCCAAATATTTGCCATGGTCTACAAGGCTGGTCGTGTTCATCTCCCTAACCTATCTCTTACCACTGTCTGCCGTTCCTATTACAGTCTTTGTTCAAAAGTCACCTATTGGATAAGGCCTTTCCTAGTGACCTTCTGTAAAATAGCCAGCCTCACCTGATAAGATCTATGCCTTTATTCATAGCACAAATGACTCATGAAATGTGATGTGTCCATTTGTTACTGGATATCTTCCTTATCAGAATGTAAGCTCTGCAGGCTGAGTCTGTATTTCGCTTTTTTTGCTTCTGTATTCTCAGCATTTGGAGCTCTACCTGAGAGATGATACATACTTAACAAAGAGTTGTGGAAAGAATAATTGAACCAGGATATCATAATCAATATGCAGCAAAACTTAGCACATTGGTGCCAACTATCACTTAGTAAGCTGGAATCTACCTATGATTTTTAAGTGAATCAATTAAAAATAATTCTAAAGATTATTAATGTTTCTAGCCTCCTTGGAGAATCAACAAAAACAAGAGTTAAGAAACTTTAGCTGGAAAAACAGAACTACTATTCAACCTGGCAATCCCATTAGTGGGGATATGCCCAAAGAAATATAAATTGTTCTGTCATAAAGAGACATGCATATGTATGCTCATTGTAGCGCTATTCACACAGCAAAGATGTGGAATCAACCTAAATGCCCATCAATGACAGGTTGAATTAAAAAAATGTGGTGTATACACACCATGGAATACTATGAAGCCATAAAAAAAAGAATGAGATCATGTCCTTTGCAGAAACATGGATGGAGCTGGAAGCCATTATCCTTAGCAAACTAACACATGAACAGAAAACGAAACACTACATGTTCTCACTTACAAGTGGGAGCTAAATGATGAGAACACATGGACACTAAGAGGGGAACAACACACACTGGGGCCTACCTGAGGGTAGAGGGTGGGAGGAGGGACAGGATCAGGGAAAATAATGGGTACTACACTTAGTACCTGGGTGATGAAATAATCTGTACAACAAACCCCCGTGACCTGCAGTTTACCTGTATAACAAACCTGCACATGTACTCATGAACTTAAAAGTTTAATAAAAAAAGAAACTAGCTGGAGAAATGAGTAAGAAGGACTGAACAGAGCATTACATTGTTGATGTTCAACCACTCTGTTGAATGCATATAAAATTTCTTATTTAAATGTGTTTGCATTTAAAAAAAACCCTTGCTTGTTTCTTCATTATGTTAATTTGTTCCAACTCTACATTTTATAATAGAGCTTTCTTACATTTCCATAAATAGGGATAAATATAAGAAATATTTCTTATATTTCCATATGGGTAGCTCAAAATGTACTTTTTTTTTTTCTCCATCCAGCCCAATTTTTCTGAGCTTATGTGTCTTTTAATGCACTCCTTTCTTCTTCGTCTCCTGGGTGGGAAGGCATTTCATTTTAACTTTTATCAGTTAGAAGAAATTCACAAAAATAGCTGTAAGAGTCCAATGGAAAATGGAAATATAAGAAATATTAAAATCTATAATTCGCAAAGTAACCACAACTCTCATCTTTAAATGAAAAGGGGAAATTCAAAGGTCCAGTCAAAGCAAAATTTAACAGAGTCTTTTGGGTAATACATTCCGAAGAGCCTGTGGAACCGAAATCAAGATGAACCTTCGAAATGCAGGAAGTCTGGTCCTATCCATTTTGCATTCTTGTCTTGGAGCAATCGACTGTAACCTTCAAAGTATAATGAATGAATTGTGTTGCATCACAGAGAGGGTGGGAGTGGAGGGAGGAGGGAAGATTTAGGGGAAATGTCAGACTTGAGTGGGAGCTAAAAGCCTGTGAT